CGCCACTTACAGAATGGTTTTAAAAAGCTAAAATGTAACTGAGAATAGAAACTTTAAACAATCTTAATGATTTTAATAGAAAACATTTAACACTATCAAAGGAAAGCTCAATCGAATTATTTTTTTTAGTAACGCAGTGATTAAACAGTCGACTAATACGAGAAATAAAACCACTTTTGGTGACACTGACTCTACAATATGGGGCATATGATTACATGAATGACAGGTACGGCATCAAAAGGCTGCGACATAAAAAGAGAACAGAGACATTAAATCACAATCAAAACGCTCAATGTACATAAACTGAATATCAAAATATGAACGACGAGAAGAGACAGACAAGGGGGGACAACGACAAGTAGAATGAAAGACTGTAATTTTGAAACACTGGGGCGGGCCGGCTTCCTTCTTGAATCCGCCATTGGTTATTGACAATAAAAACCCCGGCCAATAGACGTATTACAAAATAACCTAATTTTAGTTGTGTTTCCCTCTGTGATTTAACAATGGGCTTCTTCTACCATGAGTCTCAAATCGTGCATCAGGAGTCTGAAATCATTACATGTGATAAAGGTTTTTTACTTCCTCTGAGCTGCTATGTCAAGTAGACGAGCTGAAAAGAATAACCTTGGCTTATTTATCTTGCTCATTTCAAACCATCCAAGGTTTAAATTTTTGTCTTTACTTTAAGAAAATGTATTCCTCAAACTTTTAATATGTTTTTATTTCTTATTATTTTGTTTTTCATCACGAGCCAAATTAAGTTGCATGGAGGGCCAAATTTGACCTTCGACCCAGGGGTCGAGCACGCCACATACAATATTTCTGAATGTTACACTAGAAAATAACTTTTCAAAAGCCCATAAAACTTAATAATAGGCCGAGGTGTAGGCCTATGCATATCTGCCTAGCCAGACCCTGGCACTACATACATTATTCACCCTCCCGCTGCCAACTGGGATACATCCAATATCGTACATTTAATATATTGTAATATTTGTTGCCATGGTAATTATGTAGGGTAAACCGGCGCCAAATTCAGACTTGGGATCAACAATCACAAAAAGTCAATCAGAGACAAAAGCCAAGGCTTCCCAGTTAGCGCTCATTTTAACCTCCCCGGCCACTCCATTGAGAACTTTTAAGTGTATTATTTTAGGCTTAAACTATAGATCTTCCAATGACAGACGTTGTGCCGAAATAAAATGGATAATCAGGCTCAAATCCCATACCTTCCCATATTAACAAAGACATTGGCTTTGCTACTGATTACACATTTACTAACATCCAATAGGCCTTATTATAACATTTATCATGTATATGCATATGATTGGACTTGGAATATTTCGCCTATTTCATTTCTCGTATTTTTACACGTGCGCTTTATATATTATATAATAGGTCTAATTATAATTTTTATCATGTATATGCATATGATTGGACTT